GGAGGGAGGGGGGCTGGAGATGATTCTTATGGAGTGTAGGGATCCGTAAACCCTGAACTCTGCAGCGTAAACCCTACACTCGAAACCGTATTCGGATTGGAGACGCATCTTTTTGCGGCATGGGTCCTTTGCAGTCGGTAACTTGCACTGCTTCGACTCGAACAAGCTATCGCTTGCTCGGGAACAAACTCAGAGCTTACTGTCTCTCTGAATTAATTAGATCGTACATCGTACAAGAGTCTTAAAGCATGCAAAGCAGAAAATGGTCCGATAAGGGACCACAAAATCTTCACCACTTCTGGGTGTTAGCAGGGCGATGGGCCGAAGATAAGGTTGGAACAAGTTCCGCAACTCCGTGCCATTCTCCGCCTGCAGATCTTAGGATGGGCTGTAGGATGCCATGCTGCTGTTGAGATTGCTGATATGTCTAGGATGTCTTTCCTTCTCCGCCGGGACATCGGACTGCGTGCTCATTCGAGACAAAAGACTGTCTGCGTGTCGGAGTCGTAACAACACGACTCAGGGTTCTGCATTCTGATCAATCCATTGGGCTCATGCCCACCCACACCACCAACCCCGAATCCCTAAACCCTGAACAATTCAACGCAATCGTGCTGGGCACCGCTTGCAGATGCTGCGACCTTAAGACCTTAAGCCAAGCCTGAAGCATCGACCCTGACTGAATATGGACGTCTGCTTAACCAACCTACATTCATTTAGAGACGGTGGTTGTTAATGAGGGGTCTGCATTAAGTTACCAGCTGGCAAATTACTTCAGCAAAATCCAGCTGGCGAATTACTCCCCGACAGAAGTCTCTCGGTCAACCTGACTTTCACTGGTACTCTCACTGCACCTATCAGGGACTGGGTGTAGGGTGTAATTGCTACTTTTTACTCTTCGCGATGGGTGCTACTCCAGCTACCTGTCTAATTCACACCTGTAATGATGGAATTCTGAAGTCCGCCGGCCCTGTAAAGAATCCTTCCAGGAGTCCTCAAAGCACAGACCCTAACCACCCCAACCCCCAAGCCTGAACCTCATCACCCCACTTGCCCCCAATGCCCCAAACTGTACGAACCCCTATCTATGACACCTTGTGGTAGCCCTTATAGAACCCTTTTTTGGAACTCGTAGAGGAACCTTAAACCCTAAACATCCCTAAAGCATATAAATCCTAAACCCCTGAGAGCCAGGTTGCTCTAGGCTCTGTAGTCGAGTTCTTGGCACCCGCTCGTGTCACGCAGCGTCGGCAGGGACGGTGTCGACCTGGTGTACGGGCTCCCAGAGAGCCCCATACCCCTCAATCAAGGAATATTCCTTGAATTATGGGGGCCTCAAAACTTAAAACTTAACCCTAAACCCTATAAACCCCAAGTATTATGGTCTGTATTCTGATTGTGGCATATTCCTTCATTAAGGGGTATTGGGCTCTACGGGTTTACGGTCCCTTTCAGAGTTTTAGGGCTCTGCTTAAGGCTGAGGAAACCGCCCTGAGCCCTCAACCCGAAGAGGCTTCGGATCGGGTTTAGGGTCCTTTAGAGTTTAATTAAGGGCTTGTAGGGCTTGTGGTTTTGAGCTGGGGAATGCCGAGTACCTTTCTAACTCCCAAGCCACACCCGCTTGCCCCATGCTTCTCCAAAAGAGCCCTTGGGGGTTTAGGGTTTAGGGCTTAGGGCTTGTAGCTCCCTGCCAAACCGCTCAACCCCTAAAGTCGGTAAACATCCCCTACAGCCACGCTGTACAGTTTAGAACTCACTCTTGTCTCCATTGGAGTTCCTTTCCTGGTTGCATTTCGGATCCTAAGCATATTTAAACCAAAAGGAGCCCACATGGAGAGATAGGTCCCTAAACCAAACCCCAAGACCCTAAAACCCCAAACCCCAAACCCCAAGACCCTAAGACCCTAAACCCTTAAAGCCCTAAACCCCTAAACCCTGAGACCCTAAACCCCTAAACCCCAAGACCCTAAACCCTAAGACCCAAGTTCTGCGGGGTGCGCCCGAATCTGGTGCTATATGTAAGGAAGAGTGGAAGAAGGAATAGAGGGACTATTATTAGGGATTATGTAGGGACCATCATAGGCCCTCCACCCTCCAACTGGAATACAGGCAGAGTGTCTCGAATATGCTGAGCTGAAACAGTAACTCAAGTCCACAACTACATACCCGAATGCCTTAAATCTAATTCCCCATGGGGCCGATCTCTGCAACAACAGCCTAGAGCAACATGAAATGTCAGTAGAAATCCGTAAGCCCTCGAACCCTACATGCTCAACTCTCGGCAGTATGATCGCATTAGGCAACTTGACAACGAAGACTTGTGACTCCTCGTGCGAGGTGTGAGAAGCCTCACTTCGTAAGTATGGACTTCCCGGAGATCCTCCGAATCACATACAATCAATCCATAAGTCCCCCCAAGACGCAAACTCTACACCTCTAGGCCCCCTAAACCCTAAACCCCCCCAAGCCAAATCCTCAAATGTCTGATCGGCCGAAACGGCCGAACCCCTGAACCCCAAAAGAACTTGGGGGGTTCATGGGTAGCTCTAAAAGGTAGTAACTATAAACATCATATAACCCATATTCGGGGCCTTCTAAACCCCACCTACAACTCTCCACGAACATCCAGAAACCCCAAGTCTGAACACCAGAAACCCCAAGTCTGAACCCGAAAGCCCTATTTTTCCTAAGTAGAGGCCGGGGCCCGCGCCGTAGCCGACTTCCGCAAGCCAAAGCAGCGCTCCACGTCGAAGATCTTGGACTTCGGCGCCTGCTGGGAAGGAGCGTCGGCTTTATGGTTCGGTTCAGGGTTTAGAGTTGTAGGGTTTAGGGTTTAGGGTTAATTAAGGGTGTCGGGTTTAGGGCTAATTAAGGGTTTAGGGCTTAGGGCTAATTCATGATTTCGGGTTGAGAGTTTGGGGTTTAGGGTTGTAATTAAAGCTTAGGGTTAGGGTTTGGGTTCAGAGTCTAGGGTTTAGGGTTTGGGGCAGTTCAGGGTTTAGGGCTTGTGATTCTGCGGTGAGGGATTCCGGGGTTCAAGGCATCAGTTGTAAGAAGCATCTAGGGTTCTACCCAGTAGGGTAAAGAGCCATGACATAGCTTTGCGAAGGAGGGAGTGGCTGCAGCTGGATGATTTGAACACAGAGTCGACAGGAAGCCAGGATTCAATCCTTAGGTTCAAAGTTTAGGGTTTAGGCTCACAGATTGCCGGCTTCGCATTTTGGAGGTTCCAATATCCAACGGATTCACAGGTGAGGGGTCCAGGCCTCACGTATTTTTTTGAAAAAAGACCAGTCTGACTCAACTGACATTTTCTCATCGTCGTTTTGACTTCCGGAAACAGAACCAATGCCGGTCAGAATCACTGGAAAATTGCCCCATGTGTGACATGTTTAGGGTTGCTAGACAACAGGGTTCAGCCAAAATATGGGGCTTCAAGTCCCTAAACCCTATAAGCCGTAAACCCAAAACCCCTAAACCTTAAACCCCTACACCCTAAACCCTAAGGTTTACCGGAAGGGGCTTTTGTTTTACAGCTGGAAGAAGTCCCAGGTCCCAAACCTAAACTCCTCGTAGTAAACCTCTAAGAAACCTATCTTACCCCACCATAACCGAGTTTTCTGTCGGCTCTTACTGTAAACCCAAGAATATAGAATCCACCAGGCCTTGCGTTTCTCCAAAAGGAGTAGGTTTTGCTGCTTCGAGGTACTGGTGGGCCCCAGGACTGGCGAGTTTACCAGGTCTGTCAGATCTGCCGTGGTTTCTTAGGGGCCGAGTACCTTAGCCCAAAAAAGGCTAGTCTTTTGAATTGTAATAGGTTTATACAAGCCCCAAAAGGTTAAAGGTTACCTACTCAGCCCCTTATAAGGTTTAGGGTGTGGGATTTTAGGGTTTGTGGTGTTGGGGTTTAGCAGTGTTGAGGGTTTGGGGTCTTAGCGTTTAGGGTTTCGGGCTTTAGGGTTTCGGATTTTGGGTTTAGGGTTTGGGGTTTAGGTCCCTTGCTCTAAACGATCCCAAGACAAGACCCAAACCACCGAACACACCGTAACAAGCACCCCAGTCCTGAACCCTAGGACCTACGTAACCCTAAACCCCAACCCCCAGACCCCGAACCCTAAACCGTAAACCCCAACCCCTAGACCCTGAACCCCTAAACTCTGACCCCCAAACCCTAAACCGCTAAACCCCTGAACCCTCGACCTGCCCTGAACGTTTATGGCCCCAAAGGGCACAGGGGTGTCTCTGCTGTGCACCTCGGAGCCCTCGCTCTCATAGAAAAGGGCATACTGCCTGTAGCAGGCTATGATTTAGGATCTGAGGGTTTAATGTTTGCGGTGCAGTTATACCTCGGAAAACAGGGTTCCGTTGTGGTCGTGGTATCGGAAATCACAAAAGCCAATGTAACAAAGTGACTGAAATCTGTCAACAAGAACGCCGCTAGAACCTAATCGACTCGTGCACGCACTGAGCTTCCATCGGGAGCTTCGGTTTGAGGCTCTTCTAGTGGAAGGAGTGTAATGCTCAAGGTTGGGGGATTTAAGGTTCAGGGTTCAGCGCTTGGGATGTAGTAGGGTCCAGACTTCTGGGTCTCGGTGTAGCTTTGAGAACTTTGGATCTAGAGACATTTGATTCTGTAGAGTTCTGAGTTTCCAAGTTTATCGGATCCAGTGCAATGCAGCGCGTAGGGCCTAGGGACCTCGGATGAAGACAGGTATTCGACAACTACATCCCGCTGAAGCCAAGGACTCGTCTAAGTCTAAGCGGTACATGAAGTGATACATGTGTTAGGTTGAAGTACAGAAGTGGGCTGAGTGACTTACTTGTACTTCACACGACACACCGGAGTTTCACACCAAAGCTGAACCACGACAATCTGCTTACCCAGGCTAGATGGCGGCCTCTTACTCGGCAACCAGACCTCCCACGTCGGAGCTTTAATCCACAAAGTCCAATACTCGAACCCAAACCAAACCCTCAAGCCTCAACGCTCTAAATCCTAAACTCCTCGAGCCCTAAACGTTTCAGCCGGAAGGCCGCCTGAGCCCTCCAAAATCCCAAATCTTAAGAGGCTTAGCTAATCCCAGCCCTACAAGCAAACCCTAAACTCTAAACTCTAAGGCCAAAGCCCTAAACCCTAAAGCCCTAAACACTAAAACCTAAAACCGCAAACGCTAGGACCCTCACCCCCAACTGAATGCGAAACCCAACCCTGACAAAGGCCTTGACAGTAACCACTCTAGAATCCTAGACCCTAAACCCGAACAGAGCCCTTATAGACTTATAATACTAATGGAGCCCTTAGAATAGACTTATTTACTAACGGAGCCCTTATAGACTGATAATTTAATATGTATGAACTTATAATAACCATTCCAGAACCCCAAACCCCGTTGCTAGACCAGCCGCTGCATGAAGTCGTTGATGTTCTCACGACCTTTCGAGGCCATCTTCTCAAAATCGAAGGCTTGCGGTTTGAGGGTCGAGCGTTGAGGGCTTGTCAGGGTTCTTAACAGGCTGCTGTTGTGGCAGCGTTCTAAAACCTACTCTCATGAAGTCCTTCAGCCCCAAGCCACCAAGCCACTTCCTAAACGCGAACATAAACGGCCCTGAAGCCCTCATGCCCAAAACCCATCAGACGGCGACTTATATGCGAGAAAGCAAGCAGGTGTTGTAGAAGCTTTTGTAATTGAAACAGTTTTTTTTTTTTGTGGGGGGGGGG